CGTTCTACGTTGCTAAGACACGCACCACTGTACCACGTATTTCTATGGGATTTGTGTGCGCTGCTGTGGAACGCCGGTGGAGCCGGTGAAAACTCGAGAAAACAACACAAACTCAACTTTGAAGTAATCCTGAACAACCAAATTCATATATGTTACACACGTAGGGCTAATCTTGTTACACTGTTCAGGGAACTCTCAACAACCATTGCAAAGTACCGTTTTCTGCAAGTTTTTGGTCTTTGTTTTCACCGCGAGGGTTGCCAGGCGGTAGAAAATGCCCGGATGTCCGCCCCCGAGGATAGGGCTAAACTATAGGAAAGACATATTGGTTAGAGAAAACTAATATAGGAAAGACATATTGGTTAGAGAAAACTAATAATCGAAATAAACAAATCCACATTCCTTTCCTTGCCCTGTTATCACGCAATAATAGCAGTGTCGTGCTTTATTCCCTAATCCTAATCAATGTTGGATATAATCTACTATAATGACGATATATATAATATATAGTGGCAGCTTGAGAAGAGAGAAATATACAATGTGATATCCGCATTGTCTATGTTTGTATTTTCTGTTATGATAATTTATACCAAAGAACGACTTGCGAAAACAGGCTTTGTGATTTTTCAAATGAAAATGACCAGGTTTATATATGTGCAGTGGCAGCTTGAGAAGAGAGAATTATACAATGTGATAACCGCATTGTCTATGTTTGTATTTTCTGTTATGATAATTTATACCAAAGAACGACTTGCGAAAACAGGCTTTGTGATTTTTCAAATGAAAATGACAAGGTTTATATATGTGCAGTGGCAGCTTGAGAAGAGAGAAATATACAATGTGATATCCGCATTGTCTACGTTTGTATTTCTGTTACAAGAACGTTCACCAGCAAACGACTTGAGAAAACATGCTTAGTGTTTTTTCAAATGAAAATGCCCAGGTTTTGTTAACTTAAGATTCATGGTGGATTTGTTGTGTATACAACAAGATATTGCTGATACAAGTACAATTTTGTCCACCTGTTTGTACCTTGACCTCAGGAATCTCTAATTACTTGATAACAGGGCTGCATGTGGTATGGATCGACCAATGAAAGCGTGACGTTTTAATTATGGGGTTAATAATGTCGTAACAAAATTATACTTACATTGACATGTAGGTAGGGTGGGTCCCCATGACATGTCAGCTTGACAACTGGCCTCATTACTGCCTTGTAAACTATATCCTACATTGCACTGATACGTTACAACACCATAGAATGTACGATTAGTTATACTGTAAATGAAACCATTATCTAGTAATGGAGGCTGACCACAAGATACAGCTGTAAGAAAATAAGATTATGTTACGGTATGTGAGTTACATAGCTGTATGATAGTAGGAGAGAGAAATTAAAGATGCTCCATTTTGACACCTTTAATTTGTATGCGATTTTCTATAATTTATTGGCACCAAATATGTATTATGAAACTTTGGTTAGAATCAGAGAGATTACATGATTGATCAACATATGTGGAGAACACCCCTGCATATATTGGCTGCAGACTGGAAATTGGGAGATTGATCATTGATCATTAAAACCCAATACTTAATGCATCAAGCAATTTATTATTATCAAAATATTGAAAATAATGGTCCAATTAGGTACTTGCAGTCAAAGAACTTGAACGTCACTGTTTATACAGAGGATCATGGCTAGGCGGACTCAACAAAATATAATCATTTTTGACAAAGTTAAGACACACTTTGACAACTTGGCTCAAAGACATTAATAGAAGAAAACATATTATAGTAAAGTCAAGCACCATATTTAAAAACTCTAATTTTAATATCATTTCTGTATTGAGCTCAGCCAAAGTAGGCATAAGCTAGAAATTGAACTAGCCACCATAAACGAGCTAAAATACCAAGTCAATATGTGAAAAATGCAATGTTGTGGAAGATGAAATTCATTTTATTACAACTTTTGACAATTTACAACAATGAACTAGCAGAAACTATTTTTAAAAACAAATTCTAGACTTGAATACCTTTCTAAGACAAACAAGTTTAATTACAATAATAAATACTTCAGACTTGCATCTGATCAAACAGGTAGTTAATTATTTTAAAATTTTAGTATAATTAGTACTCTTCCATAGATTTGCTGTCTTTATTGTCTCGTATGACTACTTTTATGCTTTATTCCTTCAACTTAAGATTAATCATTACGGTGTAATAAAGATATTATTAATAGCAGTACCAGAGATATATTTTACCTGAAATGACTCAAAAAAATCAATAAATACAAAATAAAAGAAAAAAGATATTATTAACATTATAATTATATAGTTAGGGCATGCATGTAACAGTACTGTAGTTTTTAGCACAATCCGCTGGCATACACGTGATAATAAAATGGATGTGATCAATTTACCAATATTTACTGTATGGGGGCTGCCATCTTGAATATGTCTTGAAACTACATAATGAGACAAGTTGAGAGACCCGTTTTTCAGTTTCCTTCAAATCTGGAAAAAAATACCAAACTTTCACAGCCAAACGATCTGTTGGGGTAACATTAAGCCAACCGCTAACAAAACTCGGCAGAATTTGTTATTTTTGTGTGGAAATATCCCTTACATATGAACACTTAATTAAACAATACTTTTCCAGAGTTTTTGAAGCCACCATATACTGTAAATATCGGTAAATTGATTCAAGTTTATTTTATTATCACACGTTTAGATAGAAACGTTAACATCAGTGCAAGGTTGGAGGTTATTGTGAATTTGTAGAAAAGATCTGACCTTGTCAGTGAAAATCGTACAGACATGGCAGATTTGTAATTAGTTCTTAGGATGTACTTAAACTTGACTGAGAAGGGTTGCAATATACCATAACTATTATGTGGTGTACAGCAAGTCTCAGAAGTATTAGGGCAGCCAATTTGCAAACTCGCTAGCGAATTACTAACTGCTTGGGTTTTGACTAAACAGTTGGCTTTCGAATCTCGTTGGCGCCGTCTTGTGGTCACACCCACTCTGGGCGAATCCTTATAACAGCAGGGGACGGTCGTCATACTTTATGGAGCTAATCACCCGTTGAATGACGATTTTGCTTTAAATACAGGGAAAGTGTTCTATGTGTAATGAGGTCGATTTTTTTAGCGGTTGGTTAATGTTACCCCAATGGA